CGGGGCTCTACACAGCGGAGACTCACCCCTGCCCTGGACAGGCTCTGAACAGAGCTAAGTGAGGCCCCAGCAGCACAAAACGAGGACCAGCTAGCTGATCCCTGGCCCTTAGCCCTAGGCACTTCTCATTGCTGTTGCTGTATGCACACACACACACACACACACACACACACACACGCACGCACGCACGCGCATACATGCACATACATGCATGTACATACCACTTATTATCACATTCCATTATAACCTGCTCACACACAGACTCACACACACACTCACACACACACACACGGGCTGGATGCCACCAAGTGGGGCTTGCATTCTGTGTTACTACCATGGGTACGAGGGAGAAGCACCAGCACATTCACCACCATAGACACTGAATGCCTCTCCATAGAGCATCAAGAATGCATTTGTGCACAACACCTTGATGCTGGCCTTCCCAGTCATGGGCTCATATGAGTTTCTCAGACCCTACCACAGTCTCATGATAGAGGCAACACACACTTTCTCTCTCTCTTTCTCTCTCTCTCTCTCTCTCTCTCTCTCTCTCTCTCTCTCTCTCTTTCTCCCACCCCCATAGACATTCACATATGGCATTATCAGAGACACAAAACTTCACACTTCATGCCCTCCCACTCCGTCACACACTCACACAGCCAGATAGCCCTCGTTTACAGACATACAGGGAGACGTCAGCCATAGATACCTGGAACTCCTACCACACACAGCGTATGTATCACCCACACTCATTCATACTTTCCTTCATAGAGTTAACACACACACACACACCACAAATATACCATACATATTAAACACACACCACATGTACTGCACATACCAGATATACACTCCATATAATACACACACAGAGACCATATATTAGGCATACCATACACCACTAGACACATACTACATATATGCTATAAACTGCACACATGCAACACACATAGCACATGTACCTTATACGTGCCATATGTATCATACATGCCAAACATCTATGCCATGTAGAGCATACATACCACACACATCAGATGCATAGCATTGTAGCAAGCTTTCTTTGGGCTGCCAACCAGCTCCCAAATCATGACACGGAGACTTATTATTAGTTATAAGTGTTCGGCCTTATCTTATGCTTTTCTCATAGCTCTTTTAATTTAATTTAACCTGTTTCTCTTGATCTACATTTTGTCTCGGGACTTTTTACCTTTCTTTCATTCTGTATGTCCTATTCCATGTCTGGCTGGCTGGCAGCTGCCTGATGGGCTAGCCCAGGCATCTCCCTTTCTTCCTCCCTCATTCTCTATTCTCTCTCATTTTCTTTCCAAGCCTGGATTCTTCCTCCTACCTATCCTCTCTGCCTGTCAACCCCTCCTATCCTTCTACTTCCTAGCTATGGGCTGTTCAGCTGTTTTTAGACCAACCAGGTGCCTTAGGCAGGATGAAACAAATGCAACACATCTTTACATAATTAAACAAATGCAACACACTTTTATATAGTTAAAGTAGTATTCTGCACTGGGCGGTGGTAGCACATGCCTTTAATCCCAGCACTCAGGAGGCAGAGGCAAGTGGATCACTGTGAGTATGAGGCCAACCTGGTCTACAAAAACAAGTTCCAGGACAGGCCCAAAGCTACAGAGAAACCCTGACTTGGAAAACCAAAAAAGAAAAAAAAAGTAATATTCTGCAACATGAACAAGTGCAACACATCTTCATATGATTAAAACAATATTCACATTGTTAACATAACATATGCCATATACCCACAACATACCATATACTCACCACATATCATACACACCACCACACAAACACATGCCACATATACTACATACAATATATATATATATATATATATACCACACATCTTGAATACATATATTACACATACCATGCACACACTACATACACCATACATATCATTACACATACATACAAACAACGTATACATCACACACCACCATTATAGACACATCCAACACATATAACACATGCAGCATAAATACTATATGTACTATTTATTCCAGACACACCAGACTAATTGTATATACAAAACACACCTCCATTACAAACACATATATTACACATACCATATACAACGTATATAGCATACCATATACATATATTATATATACAATGTACAGATCAAATACACCACCACATGCATATACCCATATACCACACATACCCCATACATACCACACATACATACCCCACACATAATCACATATACATACTACTACTGAAGAAAGGGAAGTAAATGTCCATAGGAAGGCTGTGTCCCGGATAGATGGGAAGTTGAGCAGTTAACATAGAAGACTTGCAACAAATGAGTTCCTGAGAACCTAACAAGGGGGTCGAAGAAGAAAGCGAGCTACTATTGTAGTATGGGCTCCTGGACCAGAGGCTGGGAAATCAAAGGTGAAAGGTCAAAGGATGCAGGACAGCATGAAACAAAGCACCTGGGGACAGGCACAGATGGCAGGACTAGAGGCATGTCCACCCTCCCCCTGAGGGACCCCTGCAGTGCGCTGGCCCTAAGCAACACCACAAGCAAGCCACTCTCTGTTGAACAGTGAGGCACCAGAACACTCTATAGGCAAAGAGACAATAGGTTCGGCCGTGTGAAGTCACCTGCCCAGGCACAGTGATTAGCTGGAGTCAGAATATCAACTCAGACAGCACTAACACTAACTCCACGCCATTAACCATTTGGGATATCAGCAGCCTGGATAAACTGGCCCACGCAGAAGGTTGAACCGGAGCAAAGTCCAACCCAAGTGCACATGCCCCTAGCTGTGACTGAATCTCTGACCCCATTGACGATGGCATTGTAGGCGGAGTCAAATGGCACGCAGGCAACCGGATGGTATACGTGAGAATGAGTGTTCCCACATTTTATATCTGGACTTTGGTAACGATCAATAGCTAAACTCCAGTGTACAACGCAGGCAGACGGTCCCACAGGCGGAGCTCAGAGCAGAGGGGCTGATCCCAGATCACAGTCCCCGCGGACAGGAGCACAGGCACTGCAGATCCCCAGAGGAGGGGGATCTCACTCCTCTTAAGAGCCTGTTCTCTGGACAGATAGTGAGCCGATCCAGCCAGATGTTAGGGACCCTATGGCACCTATATGCCCACAACAGCTATTCCTCACTCACAGGGACCCACACGAGACACATTATCGCTCTAGGCCATCAGCAGGGACAGTGGAGGAATTTGTGTGTAGACAGACGCAGTGATCCTGCTCTCTGGCACAGGAGGGAGGAGGCTGTTTGCCTTCCCAGGACATCTCATTTCGCTTGTGTTTGGCAAGACATATCTGATGCACTGGCAGGCAGGCACATTTGCTCACCGTGTCCCCAAGAGGACACACCTTGTGTTTTATGACCAGAACAACTTGGGTACAAGATCAGCCCCAATTTAAACCCCACCCCCGACCTCCCAGTGTGCTGCAGGACTGCAGAAACTCCCCACTTGCAACAGAGCTGGGGCAGACACTGGCAGTCTGTCCATCCAGCCATCTCTTTCATCACCATTTATTGACGCCTACCTGCACCCAGCCCTGTGCTTGCCCCTGAAGATGCCAGGACACATAAGACACTGTCCCTTCTCCTTAGAACTCAAGGTCCAGAGGGCAAAACAAGAGATGTGATACCATGAGGAGAGGCAGTGTGGCCAGGCAGGAACTTTGGCAGTACACAGACTGGGGTCAGATTCCAGCTCTGTTCCTTCTCACAGTTTAACCTTGGCAAGTCACTTGTCCTCAGCAGACCTCAAACTTGTCCTGGTAAGAGGAGTGTGATGGGGGTACCAGTCTCCTGTGTTTCAGGGGAGACCACGTGTAGTACTGCTTGTAAAACTCTGACCAACAGGGCTGGTGCCCCAAAGCTTGCAATGGGGATCAGCCAGTGTCATTATTCAAATGCATATGATGACATTCTGTCTATCAAGCCTTGACAGGAAGGTTGTGCCAAGCAAGAGGACCTGCAGCAGGAGCCTTTCACAGATGCTGAAGGACATATTTCATCACTCACTCGCTCAGCAAATATTCCTTGAGAGTCCTCAAAGTGCAAGGGACAAGGTTACCCCACGAGAGGGTGCGGTGAGGGAGACGCAGATGTGGCCATAGAGTTGTGTTATCTGGGCAGGGAGTCACCCTGAGAACAGACCAAGCACCAAGCAAGTGCTGTAAGAACAGTAATGAAGCTAGCACAGAGGAAAGCCAAGGAGGAAATCATTTGCCCATTGGAGAGGTCAGAGAAGCCTTGCTGGAGGAGTAGGGGCTAGCAGACAGCAAGCATGAGGAAGCTCTGTGGCTCCACCTTTTAAGACTGAGGAAGGAGTTTAGTCTCCAGGGAGAGATGCCTTCAGTGTCGCAAGAAGAGAGGCCACCAGCAGAGTTTCCCTGTTACTCACGCAGGAGCCAGACCCACGTATTCCAAGGAGCTCTGAGATCCGAACTCAGGGCAGCTCCAAGCAGCTGGCCTCAAGGCCAGTCCGAGAAGTAAGGTGGCAAGGTCATCAAAGAGGCCTTGTGAGCATCAGCAGGGAACCATGCTGAAGGCACAGGGACCCTAGCCTGGAGAGGCCAACAAGGTCAAAGCAAAGAGGACAGAACGTGCCCAGGCTCCTGGCTGACCTTTAGCCCACAAGGACGGCTTCCATAGATCTCAGTAGCTAGAGCCAAGTTGGGAACCTAGGTCTGGCTGTTCCCAACACTGGGACACCGTGTCAGATCCACCAGAGGTGGAAACACCAGAGGCCTCACTCACTACACAGCCCCACCTCAGATGGTCTCTGTGTTCTTGCCTGAACCCATGACAACCCCTCTCCCTAGGGGTTCAGAGTCAGTGTACCCTCTTTGGAAGTCACTCCCCACCCATACCTGAGTACGTACACCCGTATGCTTTGCTCCAGCCTTGCCCTAGTCCCTTGCTCCTGCATCCCCCTTGTCCACCCCCTTCCCTGTATTTACAGCTGTCACCAGGACCTACCTTAAAGCCACAGGGGAAGCCCTTGGCTGACATACACCCCGGAGATCACATTAGCAGCTTCATTCATCAGGGTCAGTCTGGGTTTCCATTGTACGCTGTAATCATTTGTTTATCTCACCTTTGGAGGCAGCCCCGTTTTATGACAATCATCACTAGGGTCTGGCAGGGCAGACCATGCACTTGCTTTCTGCAAACATGAAACAATAGTTCTTCTTGCATTTTGTAGCATTTGCTTTATTCAGTACCACCAAAAAGATCAAATACTGTTAAAATCAGAGTATGAACTCACTGGAACACATAAGACACACACACACACACACACATACACACACACATATGTTTTAATTATCTACCTGTTTTAATGAACAAATAAAGCGAGTTAAAATAAAATTTAAAAGGTAATAGCAACATACCGTGTAGCAAGCTAAACAGCAAACAGTAACACTCAGTGCTGGTAAGGCTGCATAGAAATTTCTAGACAGATAAAACTCAGCTGGAGGCAAAGAAAGCAAGGGCCTTTATGGGACATAAATTGGAAAATATGTACCACAGGCCACAAAAACGTTCCCATCCTGAGAGCCACCAATTCCGCCTCTGTGAACGTATCTGAAGGAAATGAGACAGACAAGAGACGTGTTCTGTGGGCACAAAGAGGTGTCCGTTGGAATCTCACTCCAACTCGGGGAGAATGAAAGCAAAGTTCAGTGTCCGTTCTGTGAAGTCCCAGGAAACCATCAGCATGGTAACGGCTGGCCTGGGATGAGGAGCCAGGTCCTGTGGAGTTTATGGTCAAGGCCAGCATGTTCTAACCAGGTCCCCACTGCCCATGCTAGGCTGCCAGCCTCAGGAGGAAAGGTTCATCCCTCACCCCCTGTTTTCCAAACGTTCAGTTGGGTTCTATATTGGTTTTATAGTTTCTCTTAATTAGAGTTAACAAATGATTGTGCTTCGCCAAAGAACTACAAACAGAGCTTAATTAGCCAGAGTCGCTTTCACAAGACCCTCTGTCTGTCTGGGCCTCATTTCCGTCTTCTTTAAGATCATCTACCCCATAAATCGAGTGTGGGAAGTAGCCCTGGGAAGGCTTTGTATGTCTTTGTACATCTTGAAATCGAGGATAAGGAAGAATGACTTCGTCAAAATACTTACTTCACGGCTGTCAAGTATTAATGCCCAGCCATCAAGCTTGGTGCTCCCAACTAACCTGCAAAGTGGGTGTTGTTGGCCCATTGCAGAGATGGAAAAACTGAGGCTCCTGAGCCAAAGAACTTGTCCAAGAAAGACACAGACAGTGGGAAGAGAAAGGAGAATTTAAATTCGCATCTCTTCAGTCTCCAGCCTCTGTCTTTCATAAAGTTTTCAAATATGTGGATGGTTTTTCTCAATCAGGTCTATGTGAAAAGTTGATTCATTAGAAGATGGTAGAGGATGTGTGTGGTTGGAAGGGGACCCCAGGAAGCCAATTCAAAATGCCTGAGGGGTGCGGCACTTCCATCTTGAAAGAGCATTAGCAGCCTCAGAGCCTGGCTCCCTTCGCGGAGACTCACTCAGAACCCACCGAGTACAAGAACTCCAGAAGAAAGCGTCCACTTTCCCAAGAATCTACCTCAGGCACCACAGAAACAAGCCCTGGAGAAGAGTAGGTCCAGGGTGTCTCTGATTGGCTTGTGGTGATGTCATGCTCCATCCCTGAATGCCTGTAAAAGGGCCTGCTCTGAGCCACTTTATGGGGGGCCTCGAGTGTCTACACCAGGCCAGCATGATGGCTCCTGCTCACGGCACCCCACCCAACCCCCACAGGTCCCCAGTCTCCCTGCCCTGGGCCTCTTTCAGCCTATAATTAGCCACAGTGCCCAACTTTATGGTCCCCGAGAGGGCAGACTGGCAGCAAGAAGAAGCTCCCTGAAGGGGAATCGGCCCAGCACGTTCTCTTCCGTCCTCCCCAGGAGGAGCTCTGAGAGCATGCCCAGCTGAGCCTTCCGGATACCATCTTGGCTTCTAAATCCTTCTCGAACTTTCCTACCTGCAATTCTCTGTTGCTGCCCAAGATGATAGGATGGAGTGCATGTTGTTCTCTGTGGTCTCCATGATCTGCCTCGGCATCACAGCCCCGCCCCACCAGACGCACCTACACTGAGCCAGAGACCCGCTCTGGGCCGCCACAGACACCCCAGATCTAACTGGTCCCCTGAACACTCATCCCTCCTTCTCTCTCCATTCTCGCCCCTTCAGAGGGCTAAGTCCCACCCACTCTGAAGACTTCCTTTAGATTCTTTGAGGATATAGCTGACACCATATCGGACTCACAGACCCTGTGTAGCTTGTTTTCTGTCAGTTTGACGCAAGTTAGCGACCTCCACAAAGAAGAAATCTTAATTAAGAAAATACCTCCCCAGGATTGATCCATAGGCAAGTCTACAGGGCATTTTCTTAATTAATGATTGATATGGGAAGGACCAGTCCATTGTGGGCAGTGCCACCCCTGGGCAGGTGGTCCTGGGAACCGGAAGGAGCGTGCCAGTAAGCAGCACTCCTCCTTGGCCTCTGCATCAGCTCCTGTTTCCGGGTCCCTGCCCTGTTTGAGGACCTGCTCTCACTTCCCTCCGTGCCGGACTGTGATGTGGAACTATAAACTAAAATAAGCCCACTCCTCCCCAAGTTGTTTTTGGGCATGGTGTTTTGTTCTAGTATTTGAAACCCTGCGGTTTCCCTGCATCTCTGAGGCCCTCCCCCTCTTCTCCAGTACACTGCACAGAGAAGGCCCAAGTCCAGCATACAAGCCAAGTTCCCACTATGGGCCAGGCCCTGGGAATATAACTCTCAGTAAGGCAGGGCAGATACAGGGAGAGGCCCTGGTCGGGCAGAGTGCTGCGATGTGGTAGTCGTAGCAATTGTGGGTGACCTGTTTGTCTTACCCTACTTTCAACTGCCCAAGTCTATACTGTCAGCGCTGATGGCAATCTAAAGATTGATCTTCACCAGGAACGTCCCCGGCTGGCGAGTGACAGCCTGGGGGAGTTACACCGGGGGACTCAGGTGCGTGTTCTGCCTCCAGTTCCAGCAGTGCAGACTTCTGGCTGCCCGTAGTGGGAACTTGGCTGGTACGCCAGACTTGGGCCTTCTCTGTGATGTCCTGTGTGAGGAGGCTCTCCAAGGCCACCAAGGACCCAGGGATCCTATCTTCAAAAGATGGAGGAGACAGAACTGCAGGAAGGCACCAGAAACACCTTTACTGACACATGTTAGCCAGACATTCCAAGGGCTGTCTTTCCCTGGAAGAGCCATAGTGAATCACAGCCAGAGGTCTGGGTTCAAATCCCAGCTCTGCCCACTACTATACGGCCTGGGGCTCCTTGCTCCGCTTCTCCACGCCACAGTTTATTCAACTGCAATCATCCTATAAGCTACGCATGATGATTGGCACTCTTAACATTTTCAAATGAAAACATGAATTTAAGATGCATGGTCATTAAGACAATAACCCTTACCTCTGGACCAAGACAATCATTTTGACTAAACAGCCAAGAAAGTCCTACCCCTAAAGAGTTACCTGGTAGGACCCCTCTTTGGATGCCAGGCTTTGAGCTAAAGAGCCCACCTTCTGCAAGCCTGCCTTCAATAGCACTCCTGGCCCATGTGGTCTCAGCCCTGCTAGTGGGAGGAAGTGCATCCCATTTCAAGGGAACTGGATCTCAGACAGAGCTAACTGGCTAACACCACCACAGGTTGCCGTTCAGCCAGCCTGAGATGCTCTTGGTCCCATAATCAGCTTTCTCCTTCCCATGCCAGGGCAGCAACCTCTCGTGGCTTTGAAGTCCTGTCTTCAAGGTCTTGTTCTTTCCCCCCTCCTGGAAGGAGTCTAACGGCTGAAGGAAGTAAGCACTCCCATTAAGATGTTCCAGACACGCAGAACACAATGTGCCTCCCTATCCCCTCGGGACGTTTTGCTTCAGTGCAAACAGTTGGGTGCTATATCAGTACTCTGGCAGCTAACACACCATGAGGCCCTGGTCAAGTCACTTTGTTTCTCTGAGTTGTAGTGTCTAGCCATAAAGTGGGGGCAATGCAAAGACCTCCATCATAATGATATTGGTGTGGTTAAAAGAGAGTATATGTGAAAGTGCTTAACACCACACTGAACAAGCATTAGGCCATATTAGGAGGCAGCTAAAAGCTTAATTCGGCCTTGCTCACGTGACCCTTCCTATCTTTAGTTCTGAAGTCGATAAGCTGTCAGATTTTAACTGGATCTATACAGACAACTAAGAACAGACCAGAAGCATACTGGAGACTGACATCAGGGGCTCTGTGGCCCACCAAGCACAACTTCAGAAGCACAGGCCGCACCCAGCTGCCTCCCACCACCTCCCTTGCCCACTGAATGCAGATGCCCCAAGGACTGACCAGAGGTTCTCTCTGTACTTTCGTCTCCTTACTTAGCAACTGACCGAAGGACAGAAACTGAATCCCTTCTAGCCATGGCTGGTCTCGATCCAGGAAGACAGTTTGAGAGGTCATTCTTCTGACTTTCAACAAGGAAGAACAAGGATGAGTACAAGTAGGAGTCACCACTGGGCTCTCGCCAGGTCACAGCCTCCTCTAGTAGCTCACTAAACCTCAAGTACAGTATCAGGCTGCCATATGCTACTGCCCCCACTATGGAGGTGAGAAGCCGAGATCCAGGTGAGGTGAGTGGCTGGCCCAAGATCCCGTGGATTTAGTCAGAAAACTAGGATTTGAAGCCCGGCCTGTGAAGCACCAAGCCTCTTCTCTCTTTGGAATAGCTAACTAGAATGTTCTTTACCAATGTGAAAGCTGAATCGAAAGTGGATCTGTTCTTCTGTTTATTGCGTAATCAGGGGCCAGCCTGATCCCAGAGATCGACCAGGCAGAAATCATCCATGGCGGTTCTGATGTCGTAAGTCCTCCCACAGTGCTTCTGGGGGTCTGTGGTCCATCCCCTTGAGCTGGGCCGCCTCTGAACACCAGAATACAGGAGTGACATTGCCTGTCATACAACCTCCACTTTACAGACTAGAGCCCTTGGGGGCATCAGCTTCCACTAAGAAACTGTACTTCCCCATGTGGGATTCCATGATCCATGTTGTGCCGGCTGCTATGGGCCAGGAAACTTCTTCTACAGTGGCATCGATGACTGAGAGAATGAGAGACCCTAATGACTTCTATGACAACCTCTCCTCACCCTCCTACCACAAAAGGGAACAGTCCAGGCAGGAAATTGTTGGAGAGAGTCCTTAAAATTGTGACTGGGATGCTGAAGTGTAGCTCTCCACAGGTAATGGCTTCAGGTAGAGGTGGGGGTGGGGAAGCACTCAGTTTTTAGTAAGGAATTGACCACTGGAAGTTTGACCATGTTCTATTGAGTATATGGGCAACAGGTTTTTTTTTATTTTCTTTTTCTTTTTTGGCGGGGGGTAGGGGTGGGTTGGCAGGGTGGACTTTGGAGGAATGGGAAGCAAATATGACCAGGGTGCATTGTATGAAATTCTCAAATAAATAATAAAAAAAATATTATGTTGGGGAAAAAACAAATAAATCCTTTTCTAAATTGACATGCGTTGTTACTTTTATCGAGCTTTTGTTTTTGTTCTATGAAAAGACGCCTTTAAAATTTAACTATCTGAGAGGAATCTAATGCGTCAGGAATAAAAACATGGAGATAACTGAAAAGATATTTTCCCAAAGTTACTTAAAAGAAATATAATAGTCTTGTAACTTGAATCAGACTTTTAAATAAATTCTACCTAAAAAGTCAATAAAAAGAAAGGGAGGGAGGGAGGGAGGGAGGGGGAGAGAGAGAGAGAGAGAGAGAGAGAGAGAGAGAGAATCCCTACTTCTCTGAGACCATGATACTTGGGACCACATGTGGTTCTTCAGATGACCATCCTTCAAGCCCCACCTTAAGTCAACCCAGCCCAGACCCCAGACACAGGAGCAAACAAGTGTCTTGAAGTGGATCCCTGTTCCAGGAATTGCAGTGGTGCCAGTTGGGGTCCCCACACACTGCAGGGCACAAAGGCGCTGTCCCCTCATGTCTTTTGCTAATCTCTGCCCTCAGAGCCTATGAGCAGACTGAAAAGATAGGGTGTGACCGCAGCAAGCTGTGAGAGGCTTGTTGTGCCCAGTACCCACGTCACCAGGACACCTTCTGATGACACAGGCCCTTATTTCCCAATGCTCTGGACTTGACCATGGAACTGATTCCAAAATCAGAAGCTCTTGTGGACCACTGGAAAGTTCTCATCTGGCCCAGGTTTTTGGCTGAGTAGGAAGCCAGGCTTGGTAAAGGCATCGGCCCTGGCAGCCATTCATTCCTCAGTAGTTATTGTGTTGCTGTACCTGCGCCTGTCCTTATGCTAGGGACAGGGTGACGGGGACACCAAAGCGGAGACAGGCCTTGCCCTTAGGTAGCACTTGGTCCTGCTGGGCAGGCAGACGTCAGACCAAACATTTTTAATTGAAAGTTAAACACACAATTCAGGGACAGCAAACTGCATCCAGTACATGAGCAGGGTGGACCTGACAGCCTCTAAGTCAATGTGCTTCTGACATGGACCGTGGCAGGGGTGGAAGACTGGCAGCAAAGGGGAGAGCCTGGGAAAGGCTCAGTCAAGAGAGCTGAGCAGTTTTCCAGGACACAACAGGTGAGCAGTGCAACAAGAGAAGAGCCCCAGGGGCAGAGGGGAGAGGGATGTGACCTGGGGACTGTTTCCTTCGCTCCTTGCTGGAGCTGCCCCCTGACTTCCCCTCTCTGATGTTCCCACCTCCATTTCCAGCCCACCATCCCTTTTACCCACTCATCACCATAAAGGGAGCCCTCCCTCCTCACAAAACAGGTACTGCTTCCCCACTGCCTACACATTACTTAGATGACCCCAAAATGTTGAGTGGAAACCTGAAGTCACAATATAAATTTGTAATTGATCTCTTTTAATAATAATAATAATAATAATAATAATTTCAGTTGTTCTACTTAATTTTGAGTTGCCGCCTTTTGTGAAGTCCCAGTCTTTAACACAGAGCACATTCACTGTTTTCTGAGCTTTGTCACTCTAAATTATTATGAAATTATTAACAATTTCTGACAGACAGTTGGAATTCCAACATACTCAAACGCCGTCTCTTACTGAGTCTTAGATTTGGGCCCCACTACATCATTTCATCCTGGAGTTGTAACCCCATCTCATCTCTTCAAATTCCCTCACAAAACTGGTAAAGTATACCATGCCTGGGTCTCAGCCACCTTGGGGGCCAGATACCAAGCACTCTTCCTTAGGGCTACCCTGTGTCCTTCTAGACCTGGGAGTTCTGGCACCCCGGTTGCTCTACAGCTGGCTCACACCGACCGAAAACATGATTGTGGCTATTGGAACAGCCTGTGCAGTCAAGCCAGGCCACATCTGACCACACCAATTTTGGGGTGTGTGT